AATAGCTAATCTTTATACACATACACCTACCGGTTCTCAAATACAGAGTATAAATACTTCTGTATTCATATACTATTCTCACACTTGTTTCTGACTGACTTATCAGTCACTGCTACCCATACTGTCCAGTCAGTAGATACCGGCCTTCAGTTTACCATTCATACCATTACACACATCCATGTGCTTTGATAGTCCCACTATCCATACCATTTAAACCATCGATGTTTTAATTATCATTTGAATTGTGTTATTATAATAAACTATTATATCTGAAAGTGTGTCTAAATCATGTGTGTCTTAACTACACATCACCGGATCGATCAGCATATCTACCATTCCTTCATTGCAAGCACTGGCTGATCGGATCAACACTTCGTGACTACCACTACACTGGCCATCCAATAGTGATAGAAGTTATCAATAGTACTAACGGATCGATCGCTGACCTACACTCTGGTCACCACTACTGCAGATCTGTATATATGAATTTGATTGACATATAATTGATTGCCATTCAAGTGATGACTATATCAATTGAGAAGTCTTTGACCGATCAATTGATATCGTAGTTGTTAGCGATTAGTTGTCGGTCTCATACCGACCCACACGCTAGACAACTGACCCGTAACAGCCACACAACAAACTAATTATATTTTATATTTAGTTATTTAATTCATTATTGTAATGTATATACAGTACACACACATATATATATATATATATATATATATAAAATATTAGTTGAATTTTACGGCATTTACTTATTTGACGCACCAATAGATTAAAAAACTAATTGTGTTTTTATTAAATCATTTTATTTTTGATATGAAATTGTATTACAAATTTAGTTTATATGTTGCAGTCGTGAAGCACAGGTATATCTAAGCATCAAATGTAAGGTCAGTGCTGACCTTTATATAGGGATTTTAGGCAATACTTGACCCATAAAATAGTCGGCAGTTATTTGAAAAGTAATAAACATATAGAAAGTGAATATAAATTGCAAAAATGCTAAATTTAAGTCTATTTGATAATTAAATTATTGCTATATTTTAGTGAAATATAGATATTTTAAAGTTATTTTTAAACATAAAGTGTTTATACTTTACATATATATATATATATATATATATCAGGGTTAAGTAAGGGGGGTAGGGGAGTAAGACCAAAATACCCCCCCTAGGATCGAGATTTTGGGATTTTACCCCCACCCCAGACTTTTTGACCAAATGGGAAAAATTGTCGCTTAAAAATGAGGAGAAATGACCCCCCCCCCTTTTTTTTGTTTTTAAAAATTTTAATTTTAATTAAAACTATTTTAATATGTGTTTTTATGTTATTTAAATTTATATGTAATCTTATTATTGATTAAAAATAAGTAAAAAAAGTTAAAATAACGTTAATATTCATCTAAAAAATAACATAATTTTAATTAAAATATTAAACTAAAATAATTAAAAATTTAAAAAGTAATTGTTTCAAACAAATACAGTAATTTTTATAATATTTATTATTATATATAAAAGTGAATATTTATTTAGAAATTTTCCATTTTATTCAACAAATCTTCAAATTCCTGGTCAACCGATACATTAGCAGCCATATGTCCGCCGTCGGCCACAACAATACTGCCGGTCATAAACCCGGCCTCTGAATTACTGGCCAAATAGGCAACAGTGTTGGCAATGTCCTGCGGCTGGCCCGGCCTACCGACCGGATATTTGACGCCAACTGCTCCGAAAAAGTTGTCGGAAACAGCTTGAGGTACACCCATATCAGCTAAAAAATTAGTTACTATAAGTGCAGGACTTTTTGTTGTTGTTGTTGTAAATAAATTTTTAAAAAAATTTATTATTAATAATAAAAAATAAAATAATATTTATTAAATTAAAATCAATTACTTGACTGAATTAACTCTGATATGATGTTTGGGTCCCAACTCTGCGGCCATACATTTGGTAAACATATCCAGTGCTGCCTTTGATATCTGATAGGCTGACTGACCGCTACCCTAATTGTTGTTTAGATAATTATATATTTAGTAATAGTAATAGTAATAGTAATAGTAATAGTAATAGTAATAGTAATAGTAATAGTAATAGTAATAGTAATAGTAATAGTAATAGTAATAGTAATAGTAATAGTAATAGTAATAGTAATAGTAATAGTAATAGTAATAGTAATAGTAATAGTAATAGTAATAGTAATAGTAATAGTAATAGTAATAGTAATAATTATTATTATTATTATTTTCATATTTACCGATACTTTTCCCAAAATACTTGATATATTAATAATATTGCCATTAGTTTTGGCCAAATGTTCAATAGATTTATGGGTCAGATATACCACTGAATTCAAGTTAATATTCATAACGTTTAGAAATTTTTGATAATAATCTTCATTTGTAACATCAATCATATCACCGAACCCGGCATTGTTGACCAATATATCCAATTTGCCATAGGTTTGGACAGTTGTCTCGATTAGTCGATCGCAATCCACTGGTTTAGTTAGATCGCCGACAACTTCCAGTGCCGACAAATGTTTCGGCGATAAATCTGTACATTGTTTGCCTACTTTGGCCACACGATCGCCGTTACGACCGGTTATGACAACATTGGCACCCGATTTGGCAAACAGTTGGGCAATGCCGGCTCCGATACCCGAACTCGAACCGGTTATTATGACTACTTTATCGGTGAAATCATAATTTACAGACATTTTTTGTTAATCAATAAAATTATTTTTTAGAGTAAACGCTAAGTACAGTACTTTATGTTAGCAATTTTGATGACTATTTTGTTAAAAAAATTTAATATTTAAATTATTTTATAACTCTATGATTTAGCATAAAATTAATAAAAATTGAGTATATATTCTGTATATAATAATTATTAAATATTTGTAATAATAGTTTTAATTTTATAACATTACAATTTCAATGAAATAATTTACTTAATGTTTATCAATGCAATTGACTATAACTGTAAAATTATTAATTTAATTACTAGTTTTAGTATAGTATTTATTAATACTATATTTAATAATAAGTTTGCTAAAATATTTAATAAAGTTAAAATATTATTTTTTTAAAAAATCAATATCGATAATTTATTAGTTTATTAATTTTAGCTATAATTTATATAAATAATAGCTAAAATTAAAAGCTAAATAAAATAATAATAAAGCAAAGTTTTTAGCATCATATGAAACATTTTTTAAAAAATATTAATAATAAATAAATTATTGTTAATTTGTTGAGAAAATAAATATTCTATTTTAATTTAATTAGATTTTAAACTTTTTGTTTTTATATCTTATTTTGATTTTTTTTATGTAAACCTATTTTCTATGCTTTTAATCCGTTCTTTTGAATTGTTGATCGATTTGATCGATCAATACTTACCTATTCCTGGAAGTGCTCGATCAATGGTCGGCGTCTTCATGGCACCAGTAGATCGATCGCCTAACCTAACCATACACATACAGCCAACCAATAGCTAATCTTTATACACATACACCTACCGGTTCTCAAATACAGAGTATAAATACTTCTGTATTCATATACTATTCTCACACTTGTTTCTGACTGACTTATCAGTCACTGCTACCCATACTGTCCAGTCAGTAGATACCGGCCTTCAGTTTACCATTCATACCATTACACACATCCATGTGCTTTGATAGTCCCACTATCCATACCATTTAAACCATCGATGTTTTAATTATCATTTGAATTGTGTTATTATAATAAACTATTATATCTGAAAGTGTGTCTAAATCATGTGTGTCTTAACTACACATCACCGGATCGATCAGCATATCTACCATTCCTTCATTGCAAGCACTGGCTGATCGGATCAACACTTCGTGACTACCACTACACTGGCCATCCAATAGTGATAGAAGTTATCAATAGTACTAACGGATCGATCGCTGACCTACACTCTGGTCACCACTACTGCAGATCTGTATATATGAATTTGATTGACATATAATTGATTGCCATTCAAGTGATGACTATATCAATTGAGAAGTCTTTGACCGATCAATTGATATCGTAGTTGTTAGCGATTAGTTGTCGGTCTCATACCGACCCACACGCTAGACAACTGACCCGTAACAGCCACACAACAAACTAATTATATTTTATATTTAGTTATTTAATTCATTATTGTAATGTATATACAGTACACACACATATATATATATATATATATATATGTAAAATATTAGTTGAATTTTACGGCATTTACTTATTTGACGCACCAATAGATTAAAAAACTAATTGTGTTTTTATTAAATCATTTTATTTTTGATATGAAATTGTATTACAAATTTAGTTTATATGTTGCAGTCGTGAAGCACAGGTATATCTAAGCATCAAATGTAAGGTCAGTGCTGACCTTTATATAGGGATTTTAGGCAATACTTGACCCATAAAATAGTCGGCAGTTATTTGAAAAGTAATAAACATATAGAAAGTGAATATAAATTGCAAAAATGCTAAATTTAAGTCTATTTGATAATTAAATTATTGCTATATTTTAGTGAAATATAGATATTTTAAAGTTATTTTTAAACATAAAGTGTTTATACTTTACATATATATATATATATATATATATCAGGGTTAAGTAAGGGGGGGGTAGGGGAGTAAGACCAAAATACCCCCCCTAGGATCGAGATTTTGGGATTTTACCCCCACCCCAGACTTTTTGACCAAATGGGAAAAATTGTCGCTTAAAAATGAGGAGAAATGACCCCCCCCCCCTTTTTTTTGTTTTTAAAAATTTTAATTTTAATTAAAACTATTTTAATATGTGTTTTTATGTTATTTAAATTTATATGTAATCTTATTATTGATTAAAAATAAGTAAAAAAAAAGTTAAAATAACGTTAATATTCATCTAAAAAATAACATAATTTTAATTAAAATATTAAACTAAAATAATTAAAAATTTAAAAAGTAATTGTTTCAAACAAATACAGTAATTTTTATAATATTTATTATTATATATAAAAGTGAATATTTATTTAGAAATTTTCCATTTTATTCAACAAATCTTCAAATTCCTGGTCAACCGATACATTAGCAGCCATATGTCCGCCGTCGGCCACAACAATACTGCCGGTCATAAACCCGGCCTCTGAATTACTGGCCAAATAGGCAACAGTGTTGGCAATGTCCTGCGGCTGGCCCGGCCTACCGACCGGATATTTGACGCCAACTGCTCCGAAAAAGTTGTCGGAAACAGCTTGAGGTACACCCATATCAGCTAAAAAATTAGTTACTATAAGTGCAGGACTTTTTGTTGTTGTTGTTGTAAATAAATTTTTAAAAAAAAATTTATTATTAATAATAAAAAATAAAATAATATTTATTAAATTAAAATCAATTACTTGACTGAATTAACTCTGATATGATGTTTGGGTCCCAACTCTGCGGCCATACATTTGGTAAACATATCCAGTGCTGCCTTTGATATCTGATAGGCTGACTGACCGCTACCCTAATTGTTGTTTAGATAATTATATATTTAGTAATAGTAATAGTAATAGTAATAGTAATAGTAATAGTAATAGTAATAGTAATAGTAATAGTAATAGTAATAGTAATAGTAATAGTAATAGTAATAGTAATAGTAATAGTAATAGTAATAGTAATAGTAATAGTAATAGTAATAGTAATAGTAATAGTAATAGTAATAGTAATAGTAATAGTAATAGTAATAATTATTATTATTATTATTTTCATATTTACCGATACTTTTCCCAAAATACTTGATATATTAATAATATTGCCATTAGTTTTGGCCAAATGTTCAATAGATTTATGGGTCAGATATACCACTGAATTCAAGTTAATATTCATAACGTTTAGAAATTTTTGATAATAATCTTCATTTGTAACATCAATCATATCACCGAACCCGGCATTGTTGACCAATATATCCAATTTGCCATAGGTTTGGACAGTTGTCTCGATTAGTCGATCGCAATCCACTGGTTTAGTTAGATCGCCGACAACTTCCAGTGCCGACAAATGTTTCGGCGATAAATCTGTACATTGTTTGCCTACTTTGGCCACACGATCGCCGTTACGACCGGTTATGACAACATTGGCACCCGATTTGGCAAACAGTTCGGCAATGCCTGAACCGATACCCGAACTCGAACCGGTTATTATGACTACCTTATCGGTAAAATCATAATTTACAGACATTTTTTTTAAATAATAATCAATAAAATTATTATTTTTTTATTAGTAAACTACTAGTAATATAGCTAACTATTAATATATTATTTAGTTATTATATTTTTTGTGACTTTTTTTTAATAAACTTATTTATTTAACACTAATAATGTTAATAATAATGTTAACAATAATGTCTAGAAAACTAGTATTTCATGCAAAACACAATTAATAAATACTATTACCATATATTAATGGGTAGGATATCATTGAGTTTTATATTGTTTTATTATATTAGTGTTTTATTAACTAGATATGTAAATGTATTGTAAATAAGTTTCGGTTCGGGTATTGTTTTGTATTTTTTTTATATATAATACAACATTTACAGTACATGTATAATACAAAAATTTATTTATTTTTTTTAAAAAAACTTCATTTAAACCACACATCAGCTGCATTTGAATGTTGATAATAACAATATTGTTAGGCAACTAACGTATAGCTTTAGATAATGAGACCAAATAAATAAATAAATTAAATATCCCATAAATTATATTAATATTCACTTTTTTTAATTTATAATTCATAATAAAAATTACATGAGTATTTAAATTTTTTTTATGTAATTTTTATTTAATATAAAGTTTGTGGGTTTATTTCGGCTTATCAGCTATTATTCAATATATTGTTTTATTTGTTTTCAACTTTCAACTCATTCATTCAAAATTATTCAATAGTAACTGATGTATGATTTAAACTAACATTTAATTGTTATTTATTAAAAACATGGGTTGATTTGTACAGTAATTATGTCTTTATAATTATTATTTCGGTTTGGTTTTAAAAAAAGTTATCCGATTTATATTTCTAGTCTAACATATCAACAAATTTTATATCTAAAGTCATATCGCGAATCATATAAATTTATCATAGATTATATATATTATATACTCTATATATATATATAAATAAACTTAAGTATAATGTGTATAATAACTGTGTAACACTCTAAGCCCCGCCTACATAGCATTAGACAATTAAACATTAAGCGCATGTATTAATAAAATACAAATTCAAATACATTGTTATACAATGGGGTTTGTAATAAATAATTGTGTGTTTTCTATAAGTTTTTAAGCGTTATTTAATGCCTAACTTTAATGTGTTTTCTAGACATACATTAGAGTAATAATAAAAAAAAACAATACAATCATTTTAATGACTATTGTTTTTTTTGTTGTTAATATCGATTTAGATATATTAGTTAGAATCTATATATTTAATATTTTATTATATATTTAATATTTTATTATATATTTAATATTTTATTATATATTTAATATTTTATTATATATTTAATATTTTATTATATATTTAATATTTTATTATATATTTAATATTTTATTATATATTTAATATTTTATTATATATTTAATATTTTATTATATATTTAATATTTTATTATATATTTAATATTTTATTATATATTTAATATTTTATTATATATTTAATATTTTATTATAATTATTAAACAATAAAATAAAAATAATAATATAAAAAAATATATAATAGACTATTGAATATCTTTATTTTAAATAATTTTTTATAAGGGATTGTTTTTTATAATTTATATATATATAAAAAATAGCTATTTAATACACAAAAAAAAATTGTTTAAATTTATATTTAATATAATATATCAATAAAATTAAAATTATTACCATAAACATAATAATCTAAAATAAATATAACTAATTATAAGTAACTTACATACACTAATAAGCTATTTTATTTATTATATTTAACAAAAATATATTTTTTTAAACAACAAACTATTAATATAATAAATAAAATAATTTATACTGTATATAAAATCTATGAATTACATAAATTGATTGAAAAAATGTGCAATTAATCTAATAATTTATTTTTTTTAAGTGTACCAAATTTTGTTTATATTATTACTTGTATAATTAGTTGTATATTTGTTAAATAATATAATTAAAAATATAAAATTAAAAATAAATAAATAATAGATTTTAAGTGCAAATATTTAATCAGTTTATTACATTATTAATTTCATTATTAAAGTATATATTAATGAAAAATTCATTACAATTAGTTTTTTTTATAATGTAATAAAATAAATATATTTAACGATATTATACGATATGTGTTTAAAAACAAAATAAGATATAAATATTTATACTATTAATACTATAACTATTATTTTAGTAATAAAATATTAATTTGTTTAATACTATTAATATTTTTTATTTGAAATTATTATTATTATTATTATTATTATTATTATGCAAAAAAACATTGCCATTGTTTATTAAATAATAATAATAATAATTAGTAATAATTTTATTAATCTTTTTTTCCAAAATTAAATAATATATTTTGTATTATTTTAAAATTCAAAATAATTATCTAAATAATATATATTGTATATAAATAATAGTTATTTATAGTTATAATATACTGTATATCATATTATATATTATTTTTTGATTTGTTTCATTTCATTGATAAAATCTTTTTTTTCGCCATCAAATGAAACATTGGCGGCCAGATGTCCGCCGTCGGCCACAACAATACTGCCGGTCAGAAAACCGGCTGCCGTATCACTGGCCAAATAGACGATAGTGTTGGCAATATCATCGGCAGTACCGGCTCGGCCGACCGGATATTTGGCGCCAACAGTTTCGTACAGTTTGTCGGACAGGGGTTTCGGTACACCCATATTAGTTACAAAACTAGTGTTTACCGAACCGGGACTTTTTTTAGGTAGTAGTAGTAGTAGTAGTAGTAGTAGTAGTAGTAGTAGTAGTAGTAGTAGTAGTGGTGGTGGTGGTAGTGGTAGTAGTAGTAGTGGTAGTAGTAGTAGTAGTAGTAGTAGTAGTAGTAGTAGTAGTAGTAGTAGTAGTAGTAGTAGTAGTGGTTGTAGTAGTAGTGGTTGTAGTAGTAGTGGTTGTAGTAGTAGTGGTTGTAGTAGTAATAGAAAAAATAAATTTTTATTATTATTATAATAATAAATAATATAAAATAATTTTTTTTCAATTACTTGACTGAATTAACTCTAATACGTTTGGGTCCCAACTCTGCGGCCATACATTTGGTAAACATATCCAGTGCTGCTTTCGACATATGATAGGGTGACTGACCGCTACCCTATTGTTTTTGTTTTGGTGGTAATTAAAAAAAAATTACTAATAGTAATAATAATAATCAATTAAAATATTAATGATAATAATTATTTACCGTAATTTTTGCCGCAATACTCGATATGTTAATAATATTGCCATTAGTTTTGGCCAAATGTTCAATAGATTTATGGGTCAGATATACCACTGAATTCAAGTTAGTTGTCATAATATTTTGAAATTTCTGATAGAAATCTACTGAAGTAACATCAGCTCTACCACCGAACCCGACATTGTTGACCAATATATCAATTTTGCCAAACGTTTGGACAGTTGTCTGAATAAGTCGATCGCAATCCACTTGTTTGTTAACATCGCCGACAACTTCCAGTGCAGTCAACTTTTTCGGTGACAAATCTGTACACTGTTTGGCCACTTTGGCCACACGATCGGCATTACGACCGGTAACCACAACATTGGCACCCGATTTGGCAAACAGTTGAGCAGTGGCCGCACCGATACCCGAACTCGAACCAGTTATCAGAGCTACCTTTCCGGTGAAATCATAAGTTACAGACATTTTTTGTTAATCAATAAAATTATTTTTTTCAAAAAGTAAACGCTAACTACTGTAGTAGTTAACTGTTAATATTAATTAATTTATTTAGTGAATTTCATAAACTTATTTATTTATAAAAAAAACAATACAATCATTTTAATGACTATTGTTTTTTTTGTTATTGTTATAGATTTAGATATATATATATATATATTTAATATTTTATTATATATTGGATATACAGTATATATAATTATCATTATTAAAGAATTAAAATAATAATAATTAATAATAAAAATATTTAATTGATTATTGAATATCTTATAATTTTTTTTTATAACGTATTGTTTATATAATTTATATAAAATAATAGGTATTTAATACCAAAAAAAAAAAAAAAAAATTTCTACCTTTCCGGTGAAATCATAAGTTACAGACATTTTTCGTTGTTGTTTTAAATTATATTTACTATAAAAAAAATACTGTATATTATGTTTAGTATTATTATAATTATTAATATAATAAACTAATTAAATGAAATAATTATTGAATTGAACCAAAAAATTATTTGCTTTTAAATACTTTTTTTTTTATTTAGCAATTAAGTGCTGAAAAAAACACTATGAATTACATATAGCTAACTAAAATCCTATGCAATCCAAATGTATTAAAATATTTATACAAATAATAATAATATTAATAATATTAAAGATTGCAAATAATAAAACTAGTATTTACTGTACAAATAAAATACTGTATTTGAAAAAAACGTATTAAATACATAATATAATAAATATTTTGTACTTAAATAAAAAAAATTATTGATGTTTTTTTGTAGTGCATTATTATGCTACTAGTATGTCCTTGAATATATTTTATTATTATTATTATTATTATTTATAGATATAAATAATAATAATAATACTAATACTATAGTTACTAAACTACTAACACAATATCTATTGTTTTATTTTTCACATATATTGATATCAATATAGTTTTATGAAATGAAATAATTAAAAATAATAATAATAATAATTAAATGTCAAATTAGACTAATAATGATAATAATAATTATAAAATCGTTTTTTTTAACTTGAATCTAAAATACACCACAAATTATATTATTGATTACTAAATGATATAATATTTATTGTTCAAAATATACTTGTATTTTATAGTAGAAAACAATTAATCAAAATATTGAGATATTTACTTAATATATAAACATTTTCAATACGTTTCATGATATATAACTTTATATATATATATATATCTATATAGCAATTAAATATTATTTTAAACATATTATATGATTATAATTATTAGATATAATTACTATAATTCTCTAATACTCTGATTTTGTAAAATTTTTTTTTTAAGTTTTAAGTTTAAATATTAATTAACAGTATTTATAGATAAATAATTAACTCATAGCTTAATTAAAGTTATTATTTTTTATTTACAGAAATTATTATTGCAGCAAATAATTTTTTTTTTTAAATAATTAGTTTTTATTTATTCAAATATTAAATTATTTTATTAATAATAATTAGATTAAAAAAAAGTTTGATAGGTTTTCCCAAAAAAAAATTTAATAATTTTCCTAATTTATAAATTTTTATTAATATTTTTATTAATATTTTTATTAATACAAATTGTCTCTAAAAATTATTATTATTATTATTATTATTATTATTATTAATTTTGACTTTCATTAATCACATCAAACGGTATGTTAGCCGCAATTTGTCCGCCGTCGGCCACCACACACGTACCGGTTATAAAATTGGCCGCATCGCTGGCCAAATAGGCAACAGTATTGGCAATGTCATCGACATGGCCGGGCCTACCGACCGGATATCTGTTGCCAATACTACTGAGCAATTGGTCGCTTGATTCGCGACTAATACCCGTATTGGCCACAAAAATGTTGGTCAATACAAGACCGGGACTATTGATATTGATATTAGCAAAACAAATTTCATTATGAATTAGTTAATTAATAAATTTAATTTTTAATATATATATATATATATATATATATAATAATAATAATAATCAAATTACTTGATTGTATTAACTCTGATATGTTTGGGTCCCAACTCTGCGGCCATACATTTGGTAAACATATCCACTGCCGCTTTGGACATACAATAAGCATAACTCTCTTTAAGCTATAATAATAATAATAATTAAATAATAATAATAATAATAATAATAATAATAATAATAATAATAATAATAATAATAATAATAATAATAATAATAATAATAATAATAATAATAATAATAATAATAATAATAATAATAATAATAATAATAATAATAATAATAATTTAATAAAAATATTAATAATAATTTAATAAAAATATTAATAATAATTTAATAAAAATATTAATAATAATTTAATAAAAATATTAATAATAATTTAATAAAAATATTAATAATAATTTAATAATAATAATTTAATAATAATAATTTAATAATAATAATTTAATTATAATAATTATTAATTAATTATAATAATAATTATTATTATACTAATTATATTAATTATTAATTAATTATAAAATATTAATTAATTATAATAATTATTAATTTATTATAATAATTATATTTCTTACTAAAACAACTGCTATTTTTGATGCAACACTCGATATATTGATAACATTGCCCCGAGTTTTGGCCAAATATGGGACACATTTGTGTGTCAAATATACCACTGAATTCACATTAAGAGACATAATGTTTAAATAGTTTTGATAACTATCTGTAGTATTAGAGTTATTTATGCCGGCATTGTTGACCAATACATCAATTTTGCCAAACGTTTGGACAGTCGTATCAATCAGTCGATTGCAATCCTCTTCAACAGTCAAATCGCCGACAACTTCCAGTGCTGGCAACTGTTTCGGTGAAACATTTGTACATTGTTTGGCCACTTTGGATACACCGTCCGAATCAAGTCCAGTAATTACAACATTGGCACCCGATTTGGCAAACAGTTCAGCAATGCCGGCACCGATACCCGAACTCGAACCAGTTATCAGAGCTACCTTTCCGGTAAAGTCATAATTTACTGACATTTTAGGTGTGTGTGTGTGTGTCTGCCAACTCACTTAATAAATGTTTCAAATAAATGTTTAATCAAAAAAATATTACTTTTTAAAATAAAACATAAAATATAAAAATAATTTTTAATATAATTTTTGTTTGAATTTTTAATTATGAATATTTATATATATATATATAACTTTCTATTTATATATGATTTTTTTAGTTAACATATTTTATTACTTGATCAAATAACTTAACACAGTTTTACCTTGAACAGTTAAACTATTAAACTTGGTGATTTTTAATTAATTAATCAATTAATTGATTTAATAAAATTATTTTTTGTTGTTTTTATAATAATTATTATTTATAAATATTTAAACTTACGTATTAAATCACCTTACATATTATATAATAGTATATACTTTATTTAATTTAGTTAAACTAATAACAATAATTATTACTATTTATTATTATTATTTTTAGATGGTATGCAATAATAGTAATAAAATATCATATTAACAACCTCCCACCCCACCCCTATACCCTTAAAATATTATCTAAACTATTTGCTAATTAAAACAAAATTATCTTAATGTTTATATAAAGATAATTTATAAATTATTTATTGGAAAAATTTAAAATAATTACTTTCACTTAAATATTGATAATTGTTAAATGATGTTAAACTTAATATGTATTAATAATAATTATCAATTTTATATATAAATATATATATATATTATATAAACAATTATTTTAATTTATTAATTTTTTAATAAAAGCTATTTTTTGATTATTTGATAAATTAAAATTTCAAAGATATTTTAATACACACTTTAATTAATTTAATCAAAAAGTTTGCGAAACAAAATTATCTTAATGTTTATATAGAAAATAAATATTATTACTATATCGTAATATTTTAATTAATTGAATAAATATTTATAATATTAATAAATATTTAATTAACTTTTTTATTATTTAAAAAAGTTAATTATTAAAAATGATATAAAATTCATGTAAAGATTATTTTGAAAAAAATACAACTAATAGATTAGATTATAACAAAATAAATAAATCAATCAATATATATATATATATTTATTAAATTTAGTTAAAATTCAATTATTTTATCAAATTATTATAAAAATTTAATTTAAATAAATTTTAATAAAATAATACATACTATTTCCAAAAAGTATTGTTTTTTAAAATTTTAATTAATTAAATTAAAATTTAATTTATATTTTTTTAATATTTTTTATAAAAACATATCTAACTCTACTTTTCATATACAATAAGCAATGAATGATAAAAATAAATTTGTTGTTTTGTTAAAAAATTATAAAATACTATTACATAAAAATTAATAAATGGCAATATATAGTATAGTATTACTAATATACTATATCTATGATATGTAAGTATATTAAATGCAATATTAATAACTTAAAAAATTATTATTATTATTTATCAATATTAAATAAATTAATTGCAGTTTGTTATAAAAAAAATTTGAATTATTTAAAAAATGTTGTTAAAAATAATTTTAGAAAATATTTATTTAAAAAAAAAATTTAGTTTTTATTATCAACAAAACAAAAATTTTCAATTAATTTTAAATATCTATTAATTAATTAATTAATTAAATTAATTAATTAGTTTGGATTTTATCCATATCATCAACGCTGCTAACATTGGCGGCCAGATGTCCGCCGTCGGCCACAACAATACTACCGGTCAGAAAGCCGGCTGCCGTATCACTGGCCAGAAAGGCAACAGTTTGGGCAATGTCCTCCGGCTGGCCCGGTCTACCAACCGGATAGTTGGCAGCCATTGTACGAAATATTTTATCATTAATTTCACGGCTGACACCCATATTGGCCGAAATAAAATTGGTTAGTACAGCACCGGGACTATCAAATATTAATTAAATAATAATTATAATAATAATTTATTTATTTATTATTTAGTTTAGATATCAATTACTTGACTGAATTAACTCTGATATGATGTTTGGGTCCCAACTCTGCGGCCATACATTTGGTAAACATATCCAGTGCTACTTTGGACATACAGTACGGGGAACTGCCCTTAAACTAAATAATTAATTAATATATTAATTAATCAAAAAAAATAATTAATTAACTAATAATTAACTAAATATTTAGTAAAATAAAAAAATAAATTACCGATACTTTTGATGCAATACTCGATATATTGATAATATTGCCCCGAGTTTTGGCCAAATATGGGATACATTTGTGTGTTAGATATACTACTGAATTCAGGTTTGTATGCATAACACTCTGAAAATTTTCATAGTAGTCAGCACTGGTAGGATCGCCTCCCTGTGCCATTCCGACATTGTTGACCAATATATCAATTTTGCCAAACGTTTGGACAGTTGTCTCAATCAGTCTATTGAGATCCACTTCCCGATTGACATCGCCGACCACTTCCAGTGCAGTCAACTGTTTCGGTGATACATTTGTACACTGTTTGGCCACTTTGGCCACACGATCGGCATTACGACCGGTTACTACAACATTGGCACCCGATTTGGCAAACAGTTGAGCAGTGGCCGCACCGATACCCGAACTCGAACCAGTTATCAGAGCTACCTTACCGGTAAAATCGTAGTTAACCGACATTTTCTGATTTGTGTTTAGTACTACACTAATTAACTGTTAAATATTATATACTGAAAATAAAATATAATATATTAATACTATTTTATCAACAAAAAGTTACTACAGTTACTACAGAAATATGATAATAATTATACTGTAATACAACAATAGTTGATATATTTTAATACAATAATTATTTTTTTATTGATATAATTTTTTTTAATACATTATTAGTTATTTGAACAGTTAAGTAATTTATCATTGAAAAACTAAATATATATACAATATATACTGTATATTATATATTGATATAATTTATATCAATTTATTTCCATTAACTATTTTATGTTATATTTAAGTGAAAATACAGATAAGTATTATTGTTATTAATATTATTTAATTTTTATATTAATATATAAATAATTTTTTTAGATGGATATACTTTATTTAATGATAATAATAATTTATAATTTTATTTTCATAATATTAAAACAATTTAATTTTAACAAAAATATTTTGTATTCATAGACTTTATACTCATAAAAATAAATATTTTATTAAATTTACAATTTTTTCCGGTAAAGTCATAATTTACTAAAATATTTATAATAAATATATTTGATTGAAAGTATTGTTTATTTTCTGATAATATATATTATTTAACTATTATTTTTTTATAGAAAACTTGATATTAATAAATATTTATACAAATATTTTAGTGGTAAAAGTTTCATAAATTATGACCTTGTAGATATATAATTTTATCAATTTAATTTTATTTTAAAAATAACTAATCTTAAAATAATACTTAAAATAAATATTGACTAAATATATTAAATAACAATTAAATTGATAATATTTTTCATTAGTTTCAAAATACATGTATATTATAATATTTCTACATAAATTTAATATGTTTTTTTTGTTTTAAATATTTTATGATTAAATTTAGTATTTATGTAATTATTATAATAACCAATGTACTTTATTGTTTATATTAATTTAAATTTTTTGTATATTTTTAAAAAAAACAATTACAAAAATCATACAAAACATTATTTTGAAATTACAATTAATTCTAGAAAATAATAACTATTTTTATTAATAATATAACTATTACTAATAAATATTTTATTTGCTAACCAATTAAATGCCGTTAAAAACTAATTACAAACTAACATTAGCAGCCAAGTGTCCGCCGTCGGCCACAACAATACTGCCGGTCAGAAAACCGGCTGCCGTATCACTGGCCAGAAAGGCAACAGTTTGTGCAATATCCTCGGGCTGACCGGGCCTACCAACCGGGTATTTGGTACCGATATCGCTGATAATTTCATTGTTAGCCTCACTGCTAATACCAGTATTGTTTACTAGAAAGTCGGTCAGTACTACACCGTTATGTATTAATTAATTAATTAATAATTATATTTATAAATCTATAATTGATATTAAAAAATATAATTTTTTTTAAATATATTTTTTTCAATTACTTGACTGAATTAACTCTGATATGATGTTTGGGTCCCAACTCTGCGGCCATACATTTGGTAAACATATCCACCGCTGCTTTGGACATACAGTGAGGAGAATAGCCATTAATCTAGTAATACATTAAATTTTAGTTAAATAGTAAACCAAAAAATAAGAATTAATTAATTAGTAAATAAAAAATATAATTAATTAATTAGTAAACCAAAAAAAATAATTAATTAGTAAACCAAAAAATATAATTAATTAATTAGTAAATAAAAATAATTAATTAGTATAAAAATAATAATTAATAAATAAAATCTATAAAACTATTATTAAACAAAACAAAAAACATTTAGTGACACCAAATAATTACCGTTACTTTTGATGCATTACTCGATATATTGATAACATTGCCCCGAGTTTTGGCCAAATATGGCACACATTTGTGTGTTAGATATACCACTGAATTCAAGTTTGTTTGCATAACACTTAAAAACAGTTGATAATAGTCAGCACTGTTAGGATCGGCAAAATGATCGATACCGACATTGTTGACCAATATATCAATTTTGCCATAGGTTTGGACAGTCGTATCAATCAGGCAATTGCAGTCCACTTCCCGATTGACATCGCCGACCACTTCCAGTGCAGTCAACTGTTTCGGTGACAAATCTGTACATTGTTTGGCCACTTTGGCCACACGATCGGCATTACGACCGGTAACTACAACATTGGCACCCGATTTGGCAAACAGTTCAGCAATGCCGGCACCGATACCCGAACTCGAACCAGTTATCAGAGCTACCTTTCCGGTGAAATCATATTTAATCGACATTTTGTTTTTTTAAATACTATATATATTTAATATATTAAATATTATTTTTCTATTAAAACTTTCTAAACTTATAAGTTAAAACTATATACTATAATTAATAGTTTTTTTCAAAAAATAAAATGTTTTTATTATTTTAATAATTTCGATTACAGTGCAAATAATAATAATTATTTTTTTACAAATAATTAAATTTACTTATTTATTGTCAATTCATTGACATACATATTGTACTGTATTAGTACAGTACATATATATTAGTTATACATTATATTAGAGATAAAAATATAAATATAATAAAATATAAAATCAAAATTACTTTTTTTTTAAAATCTAATTAAAACTAAATTACTTATAATATCAATTAACAACATTAATTTTTAAAAAAAAATAATTATTACAAATACATTCAATACATTTAAATGCTAATTAAAATAATAATAATAATAATAATTATTATTATTATTTATTTGCCAATAGCTTCGCTACTATCCTACGAAACATTGGCCGCAATGTATCCGCCGTCGGCCAGAACATTACTGCCGGTCAGAAACCCGGCCGCCGTATCACTGGCCAAATAGGCAACAGTATTGGCAATGTCTTCGGGCTGGCCAGGCCTACCGACCGGGCATTTGGCACCGACAGCATTGAGTAATTGATTGCTAACCTCACGGCTAATAGTATTATTATTATGTACTAAAATGTCGGTCAATACTACACCGGGACTGTCAATACAAATACAATATATAAAATTAATTTATTAAATAAAGTATTTTTTTATATATCATATCAAATCAATTACTTGACTGAATTAACTCTGATATGATGTTTGGGTCCCAACTCTGCGGCCATACATTTGGTAAACATATCCACCGCTGCTTTGGACATACAGTGCGGAGAATAGCCATTAATCTAGTAATACATTAAAATTTAATTAAATAGTAAACCAAAAAAATAATAAAAATAATAAATTAATAAAATAATTTATTTTATTTAAATATTAATAAAATTCTTATTAAACAAAAAAAAGACATTTAGTTACACCAAATAATTACCGTTACTTTTGATCCATTACTCGATATATTGATAATATTGCCCCGAGTTTTGGCCAAATATGGCACACATTTGTGTGTTAGATATACCACTGAATACAAGTTTGTTTGCATAACACTTAAAAACAGTTGATAATAGTCATCACTGTTAGGATCGGCTAACTTATCCATTCCTGCATTGTTGACCAATATATCAATTTTGCCAAACGTTTGGACAGTTGTCTCAATCAGTCGATTGCAATCCTCATCGTTAGTCATATCGCCGACGACTTCCAGTGCAGTCAACTGTTTCGGTGACAAATCTGTACACTGTTTGGCCACTTTGGCCACACGATCGGCATTACGACCGGTAACTACAACATTGGCACCCGATTTGGCAAACAGTTCAGCAATGCCGGCACCGATACCCGAACTCGAACCAGTTATCAGAGCTACCTTTCCGGTGAAATCAAATTTAATTGACATTTTGTTTTTTTTTAAATACTGTATATATTAAAAATTATTTTTCTATTAAAACCAAACTTATAACTATATACTAACTTGTAAGTAATTATTTTATTGAAAAAATGAAATGTTTTTTTTATATTAGTAATTTTGATTACATTGCAAATAATAATAATTATTTTTTTAGAAATAATTAAATTTACATATTTATTGTCAATTTATTTGACATACATATTGTACTGTATTAGTACACATGTATTAGTTAAAAAAATATAAATATAATGAAATATAAAATCATAAATAGTTTTTTTTAAAAACTAATTAAATTACTTATAACAACACTAAACTACATCAATAAAAAAATCAATTATTTTTAGTTATATTAAAATCCAAATATGGCACACATTTGTGTGTCATATATACCGTTGAATTTAGATTTAAATTTAGTATTTTTGAATATATTTGATAATAATCTGTATTATAAACATCAATTGTCTCAGCTATGCCGGCATTGTTGACCAATATATCTAATTTGCCAAACGTTTGGACAGTTGTCTCAATCAGTCGATTGCAATCCTCTTCTACAGTCAAATCGCCGACAATTTCCAGTGCTGTCAACTTTTTCGGTGATACATCTGTACACTGTTTGGCCACTTTGGCCAATTCATCGGCTAGGAGTCCAGCTATGACAACATTGGCACCCGATTTGGCAAACAGTTGGGCAATGCCGGCACCGATACCCGAACTCGAACCAGTTATCAGAGCTACCTTTCCGGTAAAGTTATATTTTACTGACATTTTTTTTGTTAAACAAAAATATATATACTTTTTGTTATGTATTATATCATATTATTATTAAATAAAATTAATTTTTTTTAATTAACTGTGTATTTATTTAGTTTATAAAAATTTTAGTGCACTAGTGCCACAATATAACCTTCAATGTATAGATATAATATATATATATTATTTTAGATAAAATAATGGTAAACTTAAAACATTTCAAATATAACATTAACTAAATTTAATATACAATATATACACTATATTTTTAATTCAAATTAAATTAATTTACAAAAATTATATATTAATTGTTTGTTTTTTTATTAAAATTAATATCAAGATATTTTAGTCATCGACTAATTTAAAAAATAGATTTATTATTTTTTTTAAGTTATCATAAATATTTGCTAACTCTACTATCTATTATATTTTTCAATTTAAATTTGAATATTAATTAGTAATTAATAACAAAAAATATTAACAATTTTTTTTGTAATAAAAATTTTGTTCAATAAACAAATTTATTAATTTATTAATCAAATATTAATTATACAAGTATTTGAATTAAATTATTATTATTATTACTTGTTTATTAGTTTTTTGATTTGTATTTATAAAAATAAATTTTTTAAAAATAAATACACTTTATTTAATTGAATTGTACTTTTTGATCCTTGGTACAAATACTCATATATCATATATATATTGTACAGTACTTTAAAAAATATAGCCTTATAAACATAAAAACTTAATTTTTAAAATAAATTATTTTTTTTGCACCTAAATATTTTTACATATTTTTAATTTTTAATTTTTTTTAATGAAAAACTGATATCATATATTATATCAAGGTAAAATTATAGGTGGTTAGAATACAAAATATAGCACATTTTATTTTATTATTATTATTTGTATTTGTATTTATAAATAAAAATAGTAATCTAGTTTATTACTTAAATAGTTTATTTTAAATAAATTATAATAATAATAATAATTAATTGCTATATTTTATAATTATTACACATATTATTATAAAATATAGCAATTATTAATTATTTAATATATCATATAATAAATAAAGCATTTATACTTTTTTTATGAAATATAATATTACTATTTGAGAGATACCGATGCTCTTAGGGTTAGGGCTTTCAAGGCAACCGACAATACAATTATATGCGCTTTTATAAAACAAAAAAAATTAAAGGTGTCTGTCCATGTATATACTAGTAGTAGTAAATATATGCTCCCTGTGCTCATTTATGCTACTCTCAAGTATATACCTGTATAAACACATATATATATATATTAATAAATGCTTATCAGCATTTATCAATTTAATTATTATTAAAGTGCTCCTGTCATTCAAACAAATTTTTAAAAAAATTTTTTAGTTATCTATATAAATATCTACTAATTATTTTTTTTAAATAAAAGTTTAGTTGATTTAAAAACATTACAAATTTTTTATTTCATTGTGCGATCCGATTAGTCTATACCAGTGGTCGACAACAATATAGAGGACATCATATCTAATATGATATAATAATATACAGTATATATATATAAACTTAAATTTTTACAAAAAATTTAAAAATTATATCTGATTTTTGTTTCATGTTTTTGTGTGTATTGTTTTTATTTAAAAAAAACTTATTATCACAAAATAGTTTTCCCATATCTAGACTTATCTTATTAAACAAACAAAAAAAATTTTTGTTTTACACCGATGTTTATATATTTTTTAATGTGATTGCAAAACATTATTTTAATAAAATAAATAAATATTTTAATAAAACTAAACAATAAGTTAATTTTTTTTTGGTGTATTTAATTAATTTAATATAGTGTTAATTGAAAAATATTTGTTTATCTCTAAATAAAATTTTAATAACAACAATAAAACTATTATAAAATAAACAGTTTTTTAATGTAATTTTTTTTATATAAAGAATTATTTAATAATAATAATAATTTTTTTAATTAATAATTCATTTGAATGATAACATTAAGAAAAAATTTAAATGTAAGTAAAAGATTATTTATTATCATTTTATTTTAGTTTATCTTTTTTTTTATTTTTATTATTACTATTGTCCATAAAAAAAGTATCTAAAAATCTTTTCAAACAAAAAATTAATATTTTTATATTTATCAATATTGAAATTTAAATTTATTACAATCAAAGTAATATATAAATAATAATAAAAAAATATTTAATAACTTTATTTATGACTATATTATCAATGATATATCTTTAAAATTAAATAAAAAATTTTATATTTATTATAATAGTAAATATATACAGTATATTATTTCTATATCATTGACTTATATTAAATTTTTATTATAATAAATCAAATTTAATAATTATTTGACATTAAGTATTATTGACATTATAGTTGATATTTATTTAAACATAAATTTCAAAATTAAATGATATTGAAATCAAAATTAATAAATATTTTGTCTGTATATAGTATTATATAAAAATATATAAGATTTAATAAAAAAAACTATTATTTTTATAAAACAAAAACTAAGTTATTGTTTTGAATTTAATAGTTTTTTTCTGTACAAAATTTTATACTATTGTTTTATATATGCATATTATATTAAATATTTAAGTATTAACTAAAAATGTAAAAATGTCATAATTAATTTTTTAAAAATCAAATAAATAGAAAACAAAATTTTAAAAAATTATTATTTATTTATCTAAAAAATTTTATTCATTGGATACAAAAATTATTAATGTTTTTAGTAGAAATCAATTGAAACTATTGAAACAAAAAAATTATTTAAAAAACAATTATTTTTTCATATTTCTAATAAGCTATTGACACATATTATATATATATATATATATATATTGATGACGACTGATGATAACAAATATAATGATGATTATGACCTAAAATTGTCTAAAATATTTTTTTGGATATATTTATATGATATTAAAATAAGTATTATAATATTATTTTGTTACTGAATATACTGTATATAATAATTTTAAAATTTGCAATTTAGCAAAAAAATTGTGTTAATATTATCATTTATATATTTTAAATTTTTTTTATTACTTATATTTACAAAATTAATTTTTTGCTACCTGACCTTTATAATTTTTTTTAAATATAAAGTGTACCCCATCATACTCAATATAACCCAATATATTAAAAATATATATTATAAATTAACATTATTAATTAAATAAAAGTTATAAATATTTAGTAAATTTTAAAAATATATAACTAAAATATAATTAATAAGTTTTTCATTAACAATTATTTATTTTTTTGATAAAACAATTTTTACAGTTAGAAAACTTATAGTCAATAATATTTATAATTATATAAATATTTGAACAAAAAAATTTACACTAAAATTAGATAAATTATATTAGAATTAATAATAATTTTTTTCAATGTTTTTAACCATTGTTTTTATCTAAGATAATAAATAACTTTTTTTAAAAACTAATTATAAATTGAATACACCTTTAATTTACAATATTATTATTAATATACTCAATATTTTCATTACTACAACTAAAACATTAATAACTTATAAAATTATTATTATTAATAGTATTACTTATCAACACTTGTTTTTAAAGTTACAACTTTTTAACCAAAAAAAAATAAATGAAATATTATAACTAAATAAAAAAAATTACAACTATTTGTTTGACAACAATATCAAAATAAAAATGTTTTTTAAATTTACATGTATTTACAAAAAATCTATGACCAATTTATTTAGTGAAAAAAAATTAATTTAAATAATACTGATATATTAATATAAACAATATATATATACATATATAATGACATTGAAATTTATTTTAAAATAATAAATTAAAATGTAATAAAAATCGGATTTAGAAAAAACTAAAATATTTATTAATACTAAATATATATATAAATATATTTAATTATATACTTATAAATTACTACTATTTATGAAAATAAGCTAAATTATAGCTTTAATATCCATGTAAAGTTTTTTTTGAAATTTTAAATAAAATAAAATTATTTAAATGTAGTTTTTTTTATAGTATTTAAGTTATAAATTCAAAAAAAATAATTGTCATAAATAACATATGATGTTATTGTAGATTAAATTTATAACTTTATTGATATATCTATATATATATATATATATATATATATATATATATATATATATATATATATATATATATATACATACATAAAATACCTGTCATCTAACAT